GTAAAAGCTGTGTTTGTGGTGTGAGAAATGTACACATTGTGTACCCACACATAAGAGGAAGATTTTTTTCTATAAGTTCAGATACTGTTAATTGAATTAGTGATAAATTATTTTAAGCCCTCTCTCTCTCTCTCTCTCTCACACACACACATACACTCTCTCACTCTCCCACCTTCTATTGTCATGGTGATGAACTGTTCCTTTTCTACCTGTTACTTACTCTCCTCCCTGACTGACAGGTCATTCGACCTGTTCATCAGGTTTCATTTCCTCCCGCAGGACTCAAGCAGGAACGGTCACACCTCAACAGTTCAGAGTTGCCCTGTTACCAATGATGAATTCCAACAATAAATATCTCAAAAAATAGATTTGGTGGGTACTCTGGTGTGGAAAAATGTAAAATCCAAATTTCTATGTGTGATGAGTTGACTAACGCAGATATTTTTTAATTGAATCAAGTCTACCTTGGCTATACTTTTGAAATATATTTTACACACTCACTCTCTACTCTCTCTCTCTCTCTCTCTCATACACACACACACACATTTTTTTTATTAATAGAAAGAGTTTTGTGTGATGTAGTGTGTAGCAGCCTTCCCAGTGTATTATTTTATCCCAGATATATTTACATACATTTATCTGTGGTTTGGACACACCTAAAGACAATATTTTTTATTTATTCATTTTAATAAATAATTGAATTAGATTAAAATGAGATTGTATATTGATTAAACCGACCTCATACTGATCATTCATCATTTCCCTTATCTAAATCAAATCTAACCACATGGGTGCTTACACGTCCCATCCGTATTTCATGTCCATGTTTAATATTTGGTTTAATCTCACTGTGACATGCTTTCTGTTGAGTAAACTAAGCGTTTGTGTGTTTTGAGGGGGCTAGAAAGTTCAGTGCTTATCTAGCCTTGGACCGGAGTCTTTAATGGACCGCTGAACTCTTTGGATTGTGAACCCTGGCTGTGTATTTTAGATAACTGTACCTCTGTAGCGTGGTGACTCATGAACACAGGTTTCAAAAGATCTCCAAAATTCCAGTCACGAAACAGGAGATTTCTATCAAGTAACTGTGAATGATTAATATGTCTTGATGTGTATAGAGTTTGACATGTATATGCACTGTTTAAAAGAAGCCAGCTAAAGTGAAACCAGGAGTATTCACTGCATAATGGAAACCGAATCTCAGCAGCTGTGGGTGAATGGGTGGGTGTGTACTAATATGTTTTTGACAGCAGTAATAAAATGTGGTCAGACACACAGGATTCCAGTACAGTAAAAATCATTTAATTCAATAAAATAGTATATAGCAGTAGACCAGTTGTACCGTTATCATTTTTATAAGACTACTTCACTGCGTTTCCAATACTGTTACAATGAGTTGCATCATACCTCTGCAGTACAACTCTTCCCATGACAACCACTGCCCCAGATATGGCGAAAGGAATTTAAATAACAGAATATTAAACAGTAGATATCTCACTTTAAAACCCGTACAAAAATACTTTACAGACGAAATACATGACAGGGTTTCCAGATGACCAGAGTTATGCCGAGCACACGGTGGGATATTGCGCAATCCAGGCGCACAGTCCACTTTCATGTTTGTTTCTCGGTTGTAAACGCGTCGAACGAGCGATCGCCCGTTTTTAAACGAATCACAGAAAACTTTTGTTGTAAATTCTGCACTCTTGAAAGTCACTGACAGTCACTAAGCACCGCAGGAGTCCCGTCAGCACTGGCCGGTGGCGGAGAGCAGGTTGCGCAGCGTCGCCAGCTCGCGCGACAGCTGCTCCACGCGCTTCTGTAACCGGTCGTTCTCGGCTGCGAGCTCCAGCACTTTGTGCTGCGTCTCCATGTTGCGCATTTTGGCTTTGTCTCTGCTTTTGCGGACGGCGAGATTGTTCCTCTCGCGCCGCTGTTTGTACTCGTCGCTGTCCTTGTCCACCCTCTTCTTTCCTTTGCCGCCAGAAGCCATCTTGCCGCCAGACTGAGGTGATCTTCCCTTACCTGGCGGCGCAGGTGTACCTGGCGGACTCGAGCAGGAGGAGGACGCGGTGGAAATGTTACCCAGGCTGCCGCTAGGAGCGTTCTGGTACTGCAGATACGAGCGCATGTCAAAGCCCCCGGAACCATCCATTGGCGGTTCTTCGTGTCGCCAGTTAGTTTTGGCAAAGCTGCCCAGAAAGTCCGGGCTGAACACGGCGTCTATGCGCGTCTCCTGGAGCTCCGGATACGCCAGCTGGTTCGAGTCCCGCTCTGTCAGCGAGATGTAGTTCTTGTAGCTCTGTAACGCCGCTCTCTTGCTCTTGTTTTCCTCGGAGAGAAAGTCGCCGTAGATTCCCAGTGCGCGGTGCCGGGCTTCGTCTTGGCTGGCCAGATGCTGGTACTGGGGCGAGTCCAAATAGATGCTGAAGTCTATGGCTTTCTCGTGCTCAGAAATATCATGAAGCTTCGTCATGGAGCCGTTCGTAGGCTGCTTGCAAATGCCTTCGCTGACCGGGCTGCTGCTGGCGTTAGTGCTGTGGAAAGCGAGGTAGTCCCCCTCGTAAAAACCGGCCACTTCCATGGATCTTAACACCCGCCGGATTGCGGCAGGACGGAGATCAGGGTCTCGCCTTCCCCCTGACAACTTCGCAAGTGTCACCGACGGCAGCGCAAAACTCACGCGAAAATTCGAGAGGCTTCCGTCGGCAGAAATAACTAGATGACTTTTGTCTAGTTATGTAGGTGACAGGTTGCTTGCTGGAGAGCTCGAGTCAGTTCCCATGCCTCGGAAAGGGGTGTTTATAGGGGTGTGTGAGGGGGCGGCGATTCTCTGTTTGGTGTGACGCGTTTTTCTGGTTTTGACCGCAGACACTAAGAACTTAAAGTGGGGTCTGTGAACACACGAGCGAATAACAGTAGAAAATAAACACGGCATAAACAGATACGAATGTGCTGAGTTTAGGCGTTTATAAGGAACACCTGCTTAACCGTCTACCAAAATATTTTGAATAAATATAGATTCAGAATGAGATTTATTGACAAGTATGTTTTCACTTGTAAGGACTTTGTCTCGGTGAAGCTTCAGGTGAAACAGAAAAAAACCCACTAGTTAAAAAAGAATATACATACATGCATATATACAGTATGTACATATACACACACACAATATGATATTTACAAATAAGGCATGTACACAACAGACATAAATAAGATATGTTGAAGTAATTGTATAATTGATCATTATTTCTTATATAAAAGTTATGCAATATATATTTGTATTTATTTTATTAGTTTATTTATGTGCTCTACATAACTCTACAGACAGAACTCTACACAACTTTTATAGTAAACTAATAAAATAAAGAGGGTACAGCAATAAAAGCAGGTTTTTGGAGGAGCGGTCAGTTGCTGTTGCCATGGACAACGGTCATTATTCATCAACTTTTGTAATTTGACTATAATAAAGTCTTTTCGAGAGCTGTGTAGTAATTAAGCAACAAGGCACCTGAGGATGTGCCTCAGTCATGTCTAAAGGCCGTTGTTAGCCATGACTATATTTACAATATAGCACAACCTTGAGAGAGTTGCCTTTATTTTGGTAAGTGGTTAGCAAATAATAAAAATGCTAGGATTTAAAAAAATATTATTAGTAAAACTTTTTTTAAGCAAATTCATTAAATGTCTTTCTTAAAGTTGAATATATATAGTGCCTGATATAACAGCAAAAATAAGATTTTCTATAGGGGCTGAACATGTCAAAGTTGTTACTATATTACTGAATGTAACCTGTCTGGAATGTTGTATTGTCCAATCAGTTGCTAAGACCGCCGGAAGGGTCCGTTTCATTTAAAGGGTTGTGTTTTCCATTGAATTCTATACAGGGCTGTCATCCTGCAATATGATCCACACTTTATATTCACACATTAAAGTTAGCTAATCAGTTTTATTCCCCTTACTTGATTAATATCACATCATATCATTGTCTAACCTTCAGTACCCTCAGCAGTAATTTCAATTTCAATTGGACTATTACAGTCATGTTCCAGAGGCAGCAGGCGGTAGCTGCTGCAATAACCGCGATTATGCCTCGTCAGTGATGGGGCTAGTCTGCCATCTAGTGGGTATGTGAAGGATTGCACTGCAAGCTGATTAACTTAATTTCATCATTGTCCTCTAGCTTCACCGTCTCTCTCAATATTTCCTTTTCTTATTCAGTTCCTGAACATCCTCCATCATAGTGCAATGTCTTGCAAGAACTGACTCATTAAGCAGTCAGCACGTAATGCAATTATATAAATTGTCATGTCAAATATTTCGAATATTGTGCATTTATTATTATTTTATGTATAGTTTATTTATTATCATTATATCATATTTTATTGTACACATTCCGTTACTTTTTATAGAGCGCCAGCGACGCAAATCCTACATCAAATGTTTGTATTGTGATTTTGGACTGTCCTCTGTCAGAAATCTTGACCGAATCTTGACTGTATTCAACATTTATGACTAGTGTGGACTGTTTGGACCAAAATAAAGGCGAATAAATTATGACAGATCTTTTTATTTGGAAGAAATATTTTCATTTTGAACGAACTAATTCTTTGTCTTGTAAAGGTCTGTTTTTTGTTAGATAGACATTGTATTTCGCATTTACTCCTTTGACTTGTGAAATGACATTTCACCAGTACTCGTTTTGCAAACTAAAAATACTAAATTTAGTTTGATTTTTAATAACATTATGAAAAATATATATCTAGACAAAGCACAGAAAAATACCACGATCCATATACACCACACTTTTACGTAAAAGTAACTAAAATTAATCGCCGTCAGTGTAGCCTGTTTTCTGATTGGTGGCATCCGGGTGGGGTCAGGACATTCTTGCTTTCTAATTGGTCGCCATGTTTGTTATGGAAACGGGTTCTAATTGCTGATTGGATGAATGCTGCAGAAGAACGAACGCAATTGGTGGAGGGAAGAGACGCGCAGCAGGGCGGACAGAGGCGTGGAGTTGAGGATGCGGAATTAACGCATTCGCTGCGCCCGAACCGGACTGAATATGGCGAGCACCGAGAGCAAAAGAGGGTCTTCGGAAAACTTTCACACAACCGAGCCAAGTGGATCGGACCAGCCGGGCGTGAGAAGGGGTCCACAGCATGCAGGTGCTAGAGAGCTCGCGGAGTTATACTCGCCAGGTGAGAATTTAAACCGGTTCTTTACGTTTCCCGTCGGCGCCGGTATCCGCCCGCCTCTGCCCACACCGAGGATTGACCGGACTGCCAGCCACGAGTTTCCCGTAGACAGCCCCGGACAGCACGGTCACGGAGCCGTAGCATTCGCCTCGTAATCTAGAGTAGTGTGTTTTGAAGGTGCACGTATATATTCAGCGTGCATATTCAGTCTGGGGTCTCTGGGGGGATAAACACGACGGAGTTATTACTGTAGCTGTAGCATATAGGGATGGATTAATGAGTGATGTTTATGTGAGTTTGAATGAGCGCAGCGCCCTATTGACGCCAGCTATAAGATGAGTCGAACATAATTGTCTGTGGCAAATTTGACCAAAATGGGTTATTAATCATGCATTGTGTGCTTATCTATCTCTTATAGTCCCAAGGGAGTAATTCTGTGCCAGAAATAGTCGTGGGAACTTACTTGTAGCTGTCAGATACTGACAGGAGATCGCTTTGATTTCTTGATGACCACATAGAAGCGTTCAGTAATTTCTTTTATAGTTTAAAAAGTTGTACACAAAACATACGGTATTTTTGAGAAATAACATTAAAATAACGTACAGACTAAAAGCTGTCTTTTTCTACAAGGAGCGGGGTCGCCCCTTCATGGTTGCCCCTACTATTTACATCACATGGCTAATTGTGCTAAGCAACTGACTATTTTTTGCATATAGCTCATTTAGCAAGTGTTTTATGTGATTTACCAAGCATAAACGTAACAGTTATGGGGATACCATCCCTACAAAAATTTTTTAATGGTAACCAAACAGTTGATGGTAGCCATTGACTTCCATTTTATTGAAGTCAATGGCTACCGTCAACTGTTTGGTCACTAACATTATTCAAAATATCTCCTTTTAAGCAAAACAGAAGAAAGAAACTAATACAGGTTTGGAACAACTTGGGGGTGAGTAAATGATGACAGAGTTTTGAATGAACTATCCCCTCAGTGTAAACAAAACAAGTAAAGCTAATTTTAAAGGTGCATTCAAATTAGCAGAAAAAGTCTATTGTCCATCGTCAACAGTATGGCCATATATGAAGCACAGCTAACTCAGAAGTCAAAATAGCTTTCTGTTGGTCAACGCAGTGAATCTGTGACCAGCTTGAACCCATTGCGAAATCTGCATGGGGACATCTTTCGTCTTCACTCGACATTTCTATTTGTGTGGATTCCGATTGAAACGAAAATGTGATGCTAAATATGACCGAACCTTAACAGCATTGTCAGAACACACAAAAAGATGGCAAACATCCTAGATGTGAAGCGGCAGCAGTTAGTAAACTTAATGCATCCAAGCCAATAGGTATAAATCCAAAACTGGCACTATTGAGTATTGAAAAACCTATTGAAAGCACCTATAAGGGCGGTGTGGGTTTGACTCTTTGTTTTTATCTTCATAGGAATGTGTTATGAATATGAATAACAACAACAAATGCTATTTTATAGGATTAGCACAACAGGTTCACACAAAACCAAAAGCCCACAATAGATGAATAGATTGTGCTCAGTAAACCTGAGTGTACCCCGGAAGGAGGAACTCCATCAGTACCAGCAGGGAACAGTGGACATTGTGTCGGGGACAAATGATGTGTACGAATACAAGAACAGAACAGGAACGGAAGCAAAACAAAACGTCACAGTAAGCAGAGCAGTGTGAGGGTGTGGTAGCTGTGAAAGGTATGAGTTTGTTGGAGTTGTTGTGGGTGGGGTGCTGCGGTTCAGTGTCAAATGGAGCAGGACTGATGTGGATTTCTGGGTAGCATTAGATTTAGTGCTTCTCTAAAGTCACATCAGTTTCCTCGGATAGTCTTTTTCTGTTTACAGTCACTATGGTGATTCAGGGAGTGTTTTGACTCTCAGTATTTCAGTATCAGATTAACACTGAATTAATCTGTTACCTTGGAACAAACATGGCAGTATTTCTAGATTCTGTCAGCTGTGGTGTGAATCATGTTTTTTGGTCATTTCAGATATTTTCTGCAAAGTGATTCTGCTCTGAATTCAGGGCAAAGGTGAATTTGCCCTTGGCACACAATTGTAGCTATGAAATGAAACAATGTGACATTGAGATCATTGCTTTAATACAAACTCATAGCATATTAGGGATGTAACGGTATGAAAATTTAATATCACGATTATAGTGACCAAAGTTATCATGATTATCAATATTATCACGATTTTGTTAAAATTAGATGAAAACGTTCAAAAAGAACTGATACACACACTGAAAACATTTCAATAACTTTTATATTTGAAAATCAACAAATACAATTAGCAGCTATATGCACTTTTTTTATAGCAAAAACATTAAATTAACATTAACATGAAGCCCTAATAATAATAATAATAATAATAAATCACTTGTGTATATATATATATATATACACACAATGTGATTTCCGTTTGTGATCATGTGATCTTCGGTTAG